TATAACTGCTGCCACTAAATCCATTTCTCATAAATAGGTTTTTGCAAATCAAAAACTCCTAAACTAAAAGAACTAGTAACTTATTATGATCATATAAAACTAGTTAATAAAATAGTATTAAAATTCAGAGCTACTAGAGTGAATTTAAGGACCTGGCCTTTAGGAGAAAAATGGATTGCTGATCTCAAAGTTATAAAAAAAGTTACATTTTCTGCCAAATTACCACTTACTCCTTTACCTAATATACTCACTGAGACCAATATTAAAGCAGTTAGAAAACTTTTATTGAAATTATATCACAACCTAAAAGCATTAGCTAGAATTAAAGAGGCTAATATTTCACAACAAAGAATCAAATACTTTATTAATCAAACAACATGTTAATAAATATTTTTAAAACTATGCTGTTCCTGATTCACCTGCTACTTCTCTCTTTAGAAGATGAATTAATCAAAAGATTATGTGAATGATAATTTATAAGCAGACTTTCCTATGATTGACTATTGCAAATCAATTTAAATTGTGTATTATTTATATAGTTTAAAGTACTTTTTCAGAAAATGGTGTTACATTTAGTAAAAAAAAAAATTTTGCTTACTGTTTGATTCTTTGAAACGTTAAATAATTGCTTACAAAAAGAATTCAAAATAATCTCAGTTTTAAAAGAGTTTGCTTAGAGATGACATACTATAATAACGAAACTTAAAGGTCTTTATATTGTTATAAAACTTATTTTAAAACTTCTAATAATCCAAAAAAAAGTTTTAAAACTTGTATTAAAAAAAACTTTGAAATACTCTTGTATAATATGAAAAGAATAAAACTATTAAATAATTAATGATTTATTATATTTTAATTTGCTTTCATTGCTTTCACAAAAGATATAAAATACTATATATATTATCGTTATATGTCAAATTTGTATATGGTCGAGATCATGTGATCATATTTATTGGTCGACCTTTTTGTCAATCATACTTATTATAGAAATGCTGATCAATATTTTAAACTAATTAAAAGAAAGTTTTCCTATGAAATGATAATTGGTTTAATAATTTCATACAACCTCCCATTATAGAAGAATTGTCTTCAGTTATCACTCAACTTCTGAATGATAAAGCCGCTGGTCCTTTAGGAATTTATAATGAAATGATAAAACACTTAGGTTACAATACACATCATCTTCTTTGAAAATTAATTAAAATGTGTTTTAAAATGAATGACATACCATCAGAATGGAAGATAGCTCACGTATATCCAATACCCAAACCTGTAGATTGAAATTGTGACATAACAAAAACTCATCCTATCACTTTATTGGATACTACGAGAAAAGTTTTTGTAAAAATTATTACTAATCGTTTTTCTAGAATATTTGCTACACACAATGTATTAAAAGAAAACAATTACACTGGATCAACAGAGAATCTAATTAAAATAATAAATTTAATATTAGAGGATGCTGTTGAAAATAAAAAAGACTTATAGATTCTTTTACAAGACTTATCCAAGGCATATGATAGAGTAGATCTTAACATTCTTAAGCTTGTACTCAGAAGAATAAAAATCCCAAAAAATTGCATTTCTTATATTATTAATCTTTTTACAAATAAAACAAATGCTATTTTCATCCAAGATGGCCTTTCTGATTATTATGATTTAAAATTGGTATTGATCAAGAAGAAGTTATATTACCTTTACTATAGTGTATTTATTTTGATCCTCTCCTTTGCGAAATAAACAGTCTAAAACAAGATTATACAATAGAACATTTTTGAATTTCTAATGTTAAAGATATGTCTTCATTCTCCTTATTAGCACAGGTTTCTACCCTAGGTTATATGGATGATTTAAATTGGCTCACACATTCAAAACAAGATTTAGAAAACATTCTAGAAGTTGCTGATGAATTCTATACTATCATCAAAGCTGCTATTAATAAATGAAAATCACAATTACTAACAAATACGGTCACAACACAACAACCAATACCTATCAAATTTAGATTTAACATAGTGGATATCAAACTAGAACTTGATTTTGTTCAGTTTCTAGAAGTTTGGATTAATATATTCAACTCAAAAAACTTTGTTAAAAGACAGATCAAAGACACCATTACTAAATTCACTATAATCCTTAAATTGAAATTACTTACAGATAAATAACTTATCTACATTCTCAATATGATACTCTTTCTACTATTAAAATATCAATTACAGACCACCCTGCTATTCTTCAATGAATATAATAAAATTTCTGCCCCATTAAGACAGATTGTTAAACACAATTCATCAATGACCTCAACTACTCCTGACTGCTTATTCAAAGGCAGCATTTTTTACAATCTAAATGATCTGTAAACATAACAACTGAAATCATATACTACTGCATTCCTTTATCAATTTAATTTAAAATCAACATACAAACATATTCAATGATTTGATTATTCTAACTATAATCTTAATACTCTTTACACGTCTCTTCTCTGCAACATTGAGACAAAAAATTTGATGCTAAATCTAACAGAAATATCATTAGCGTCATATTGAGTTTACTGAATCATGAGAATATCAGCACCTCCTAACTACAAACCCATATTTAGCTAACAATATTAAAGGTGGTTCTTTACCCTTAAATCTCATATTCAATATAAATAAGCTAAAGAAATATAGTACTATTTTCAATAAATATTCACTACTATTAATCGATCAATTCTTAGATATCAGTGGATCTCATCTATTAAATTGAAAAGAAATTACTAAAAGAAATATATATAATCATATACCCACTGCTCATATACCTAAACTATATTATATAGTAGAAAGAAAAATTTTAGATAGTTTAAATAGTAGATTAGTAAATAGTTTTTATAGATTAGATAGTTTAAATAATAATTATATAGATAGCCCTAGTATAGAAATTAGTTTAGATGATTTAAAAAAAGAATTCGTGACTATTCACTACCCTGTTATGGATGTGATTATCATCATAAGGATCCTCAGAAAAATGAAGCATTAAAATAACATTCTTATTCAACACTTTATTAAAGTCGATCCTCATGCAATCATTAATCAAGATTACAATAATAGATTAATTATTCAATACCCTGGATGTAATCTTAATGATGTAGCTTTATTAAACTTTTGCAAAAAACCATTTAATCACCTGAGAAAAATCTTTGGAAGACCTATCACTTACACGACTTGTATTAAAGGCTGCTTCAACTATGTACACCAGTATAATATACTATTTCTCACTCATAATTACTATAAAGGTAAAAAATATAAAGCAGTACTTAACATTATAGACTGCGCTTTCTGATATAAAACTTCTGTTTCACTTATATCGAAGAATAGCTCAAAAGTTGTTAAAGTATTAGAAAAGTATATAATACTCAAAATAATTTATTAATCTGACTAAATCTTCTGCAATGTGAGGAAAATTGTGAATTTATGGGCAAAACCTCCCGACTAATGCAAGAGTATAATATTATAATTCAAGTAGTCAGCTCATATAGTCACAAAAGAGTTGTATTTGTAAAGCGTTTTAATAAGACTCTTTCAAAAATTCTATACAAAATCCAGTATGCTGTCAAATTAATATTTTTTGATCTTAAATTAATAAAAGCATAGGTTAGATATTTGCCAGAAGCTATTGATTATCAGAATAACTACTCTATATATTTTATTTGAGAACCAGGATCAAAAAAGTAAGGCTTGAGTCAGTGAAAGCCATTGCTTTAGAGTGAGTTGAATCTAGACCATTCACAAAATATAAGCGTCCAGTTAGATAAAATAAAATAAGGTTAAAGAAAGAAGATACCATCTGCTAATTACTTATTAATACAGAATGGGAGGGTAGAATAGAGAATCAGAGTAACAGATCCTGTATGGTCGCCAAGTCTTTATAAAATTCGAAAAGTTGTTATTATAAATAATGAACCAGTTTTATATTATTTTGATGAAGAATATGTATTATCTTGCAGGTTTGTATGAGAAAAGCTCATGTTAATAGCTGATCCAGAAAGGGTTGATCGTCCACCTCAAAGCATATTATCTGTATATATTGCATATGCTTTTCTTATCAATAACAAGCTAGATTAAGTTATTGATTATACCAAGAAGCAAGGTGGTCAATGCCTAAGAAAGATCAAACGAATAAATAGTTATAACATATTTCTTTGGTCTTGTAAGAATAGTGCACATCAATGGGAATATTTTCTAAAATATATTATAAAAAAATTTGATTGGTGTCTTCTATGTTATCATACTCAAGAGCGTAAATACTGATATATTTTTGAGGATTTGTTAGGCAAGAAATTCCCACCATGTAGGGCTAAGTTCTTAGATGAGCTACACTTAGATGGATATAATGAGGAACTGTGTCTTGCATTCAAATTTCAGGACCCCTAATACTATCATCACAATAGTCTATATCATCAAGAGAATAAAACTTTAGAAATACAAAAGATATGTGATCAGAAGAAGCGGAATCTTTACAAAAAGCAAAATATATGCCTTATTGAAATTTCCTATACTGCTGATTTTTTTTCCCTATATTAAGCATACACTTATCGAAAAAGGATTTTTGAATAATTCTTCAAGTTAGGTCAGAGAGAAGTATTTTCTTGGTATTTTTCTGAGATGGCCCATCCTAGAAATTTTTGACATTTTAGTATATCATTAGTAATAGTTACTTTGAGATGAAAATAAAAAGATTGAATCTGTTGATAGACTTATATACCATATTAATGAGATTAAAGATGCTCAAAAATATAATACCAATTCCAGTGTTTCCCAATAGCCTTTCACTTTACTAATCTGTGACCATACTAATTCAGGAAAAACTAATGAGATTTTTAATCTCATGCTTAAAAATAAGCTTTATCAAATGTTTAATGGGAAGAAGGAAGAGACACGCTATATCAAGAATGATGATTTGCTATTGATCAGCCACAATCTTAATTTAAAGGAAAAATATACTTAAGAAAACAATGTCACCTAAATTATCTTTAGAAATTGCTTGTAATATTGCTATAGAGCAAAGAAATCTGTGTCTTTCAGATAAGTATATTAATGATTATTCACCTTTATTATAGTGTTATACTATAGGTCATGAATGGTTTGCCTATCTTACTAATATAAAATAGAAAAAACTCATGGTGTCTACAGTGTACTCTTAATTGCTATCATTCAATTGAAGAGGCCAAACGAATCGCACATGATAGAAATGGTATCTATCTTTCTGAAAAATATATAAATAGCAATTCACCATTATTATGGTGCTTTGCTATAGGTCATGAATGGTATTCTTCTTTTGCTAGCATAAAAAATAGTGGCACTTGGTGCCCACAATGTCAATTTAATCGAAGACTTACACTTGAGGATGCTAAACAAATTGCTATTAGTAGGGGTGGTGAATGTCTTTCTGAAAAATTTGATAATAGTAAATCAGTTTTATTATGGCGTTATGCAAAAGGTCATGAATGGCATGCCAGATTTCATAGTATTAAAAATCTTAATTCATGGTGCCCTTATTGTGCGGGACACAGGATTACTCTTGAAGACGTTAAGCAAATTGCTATCAATAAAGGCGGAGAGTGTCTTTCCCAAGAATTTATTAATAGTTATACCCCTTTAATCTGGAAATGTAATAAAGGTCATGAATGGTCTGCAAAACTTCACGGAATTAAAAATCTTAATACATGGTGTCCAGAGTGCGCAGGCAATAAACGACTTACCCTTGAAGAAGCTAACCAAATTGCGTCTATAAAAAATGATAGGTGTTTATCTGAAAAATATCTCAATTGTCGTCAGGCTTTATTATGGCAATGTTCTATAGGTCATAAATGGCTCGCAAGTCTTGATCGTGTAAAAATAAAAATGCATGGTGCCCTGAATGCAATCGTCATAGTATTGAGACAGCAAAGTCTCTGGCACATACCAAAAATAGGGATTGCCTATCTTCAGATTATGTAAATAATAAAACACCTTTACAGTGGAAATGTGACAAGGGTCATATATGGATTACGAATTTAAATAAAATAAAAGACCATTACCAATGGTGTCCTACCTGTGGCGGACGAAATCGGACTATTTATGATATGAAAATTCTAGCACAAAAAAATAATGGAGACTGTCTTTCAGAACGATATTACGATGCACATACAAAGCTTCTTTGGCGTTGCGAAAAATCTCACATATGGGAAGCCCCTCCAAAGACTATTTTAAGAGGAGGTTGGTGCTCACTGGTGTTCGTATTTTAAGCGTGAGAATTTATGCCGTGAGATCATACCAAAATATTTAGGACTACCCTCAAAAAATCGTAAACCCGATTTTCTAAAAATCCGAGAGGATTGGAACTTGATATTCCTTATTACCACTATGGTTTTGCAATCGAAGTGCAGGGAGCACAACATGAAAAATATATACAATTCTTTCATAGAGATGATCCCAAAAAATTTTATCAGACAGCAAGAATGGGATCAACTCAAGAAAGAATTATGTGAAGAAAATCAGATTGTCCTAAGGTATGTCTGGTATTATGAAGACCCACACATAGTTATTCCAGAGCATCTCCGGGAACTGGGCCTTATAGAATAAAGACGAAACTTTAAATGCTTGTATTTCATTAAATCCTTATTTTTTCATATAATAATTTAGTATTACTTGGTTTAATTAGAATGAAAGAGAAGAGTATGCCTATATACGTATACGCCATTGATGAGATACCTAAAGAATCTTTGAAGCATATGAAATCTAACGGATTTGCGTCGGATTGGCCTTTTCGCGTTTTAGTCTGTGGAGGGTCTCATAGCGGAAAAACGAATATGGTTGTAAATCTTATGCTTGGTAATAAACTCCAGCGCATGTTTAAAGGAAAAAAAGGGGAGCGGTATATTAAGAATGATAACCTTATATTGGTAGGAAAGCACACTGAACCGAAGTGGCAATTAATACAAACTAGCTTTCGCGAATAGCCAAAAACCATATCGAGAGGATGTCACATTTAAAAGAATAACGCCTGATATGATTCCTGATATAACTAAATTCTCCCCAGGTCAAAGTACAGTTGTTGTATTCGAAGATCTTTGTGCTGAATCAAAAAAGACTCAGGAACGCATCATCCCTTATTTCATTAGTGGACGGCATCAAAATATCTCACCAATATATGTGACCCAAAAATATCAAGCCGTGCCAAAGATAATTCGTGAAAATCTGAGCCATCTAGTTATGTTCCGAGGAAGTGGATCTCGAGAAGGCATATGCAGAATTGTGCGTCAATATACGGATGATCCAAAAAAAGCATCCAAGATTATTGACAAACATTTGCGAGATCGGGATTTTGTGGTCTTCGATTTTACTAAGGCAACTGATGATCCTCTCGCAATTAGATTAGGATGGGACACGTCCTTAAAATTAAGGTTCGATTGTATCACGAGTTAAAAAAAAATCATGGCCACAATGTGGGCAAACGAGAATATTAATAAAACTTTTAAAGCAAGCCTGAAACGCGAAAAACTTTAATTTTTATTACAAAATACAATATACATTTTTTCAATGACATCACATAGAAGTTGCGTAAAAAAATTGATCATATTTTGACTAAATGTAAGACTATAAATTGATTCACATACACAATAACCTATAAAATCATTTATTCTGTTTTTTTTTCGGAGATGGTGTTGTATCTGGAAGGTTATTAATTGAAAATAAATCTTCTAGCTTTGAATATAAGCGAACCCTCTTTACTTTTTTAATAACGCCGAGAACTTTGTTTATATCGCACTATATTGTCAGAAATAGTTAGAAAAAAACTGAAGTTGCAAGATAGACACAACTGAGATATATAAAGACATACCTTCAAACAAAGTATCTTTTTTAAGGTCATAAGACTATCTGGGACACTTGACCATGTTGTCCCTATTCGATATCTGCACATTTCATATACAAAATAATATTCAAGGTCGATATTATAATACATGGCATATATCTTGCCATTGGGGCCTATTGAATGATAAATTATTTCAATCAATTGTGTAATAACTAATATAATAAATTTTTTCTATTATTTCTAATAATTACCTCCATGCGACATTCCATATACGAAGATATTTTTTACCTCTGATCGATTCTTTTGTAAATTCCAACTTTTTTAGAAGTCTGTCCAGCTGATCCTTCATTTCTCTAAATAATTTGTGTTTATATGAGATTGGTTTTGAATTTTGAGGATCTTCATCAACATATGTTTCTGCACTAAAATATTCTACATCATCAACGCGAAAAATTATGTCTATTTATGTCCAGAGGATTTTTTTTCAGATTCTTCCCTAGTTAAATTTTTGCGCATTATTGACGCCAAGGACATTTCTTCACAGCTGAAATAATAAAAAAAAAAGGATTTAAGAAACACTAAGTTAATTTAAATATTAAATAATTTATAATCTTACTGATGTACATGGATTTCTTCACATATTAAAAAACAATCGCCAATTAGAGGAGCAAAAATATGACAATTTAACCACCCTTCAGAATTCTTATCTAGAAGTGGATTCCGAGGAGCTTCGAAAAATAATGATCTAGATAATAAAACCAGTTTATTGTAGCCAGTCTTAATATAATAAAGCAAAAGAAATGAGAACTAATTAAATAAGAGATTTAACTCACAATTTGTCAGCAAACCGGTGTACCCAATGCACCTCATAATGTTTACTGAAGGAATAAGTTTCACCAGATGGGATGAATGAAAGTAGAAGTTTATTCCGTAAGTCATTGCGGGTATCGCTCTGAAATATAGTAAGGAAGTGGTAAGATTATGAGAGAAAGAAATTACTAGTAACAAATCCTTAAAACCCCACATTTTTAATTAGTTATATCTTTTAAAGACACAAGGCTTTCCGGAATATTTCCCCACGTAGTACCAATTCGATACTGACATGTCTCGAAAACGAAATGATGTTGAAGATCAGCATCATAATACATTGTATAGATCTTTCCATTAAGACCTTTATTGAATAAGAATGGTTTCAGAAAAATAATCGATATAAGAATTTCTACATTGCTTTCCATAACTACCTCCTTGATTTATTCCATGTATAGCAAAATTCTTTATCTCCTTAATTGTTAGTAAATTTTGATTCTCCGATGTAGAGTAAATTTGATGAGGTGGAGTATGTTGTCTGTTATACCCGGGATTATTAACTTCATCCATCATTTTCGTATCTCCTCTGTTAGAACCCGCACTTTCTAAGGATTGTAAACTTGATGATGACGTATCTTTCCAATGTGTTCTTGAAATTGTGCTCTTATTACTACTAATGAAATCACCGTCATCGTCATCCGCATTCGTGTTAGTAGTTTTGACCTGTTCGCGCAACAAACTTGATGATGATGGGTTTGGTATTCCTGGTGATGATGATAAATTTGGTACTCCTTGTGATGATGATGGCGTGTTTTTCGTGGTTTTGGCCTGTTTACGCAAAAAAAATTTTGAGAAGAATTCACGGTAACAAATCCTTATAATCATAGGGATGCACTTTATACTGACCTTCTTAGATACAGCTGAACCAACCGACTCTTTATTCTGTAGATACAGTATAATAATCATTAAAAAATAATTGCATAAAATTCAATGCAATAAAAGGCCTCAAAAACACCCTAACCTTTCTCGATAGAGATAACTGCTTTTCCCGCTTTTTTGGAAGTTGGAAATCATCATCGGACTAAATACATAAAGAAAGAGTTAAAATTTATTAGACAGACAAAATTCTGTCAATTCTCATTAATAAATTACACACCCGTACCTCATTTTGATCTCTTCTTGACATAAGATTTACTTCACCGTTTATATTTTTAACTGTTCCTCCATTTATTACAGTCCCCGCATTTAGATTCGGTTGGTGGATGTGAACTTGCTTTTGCATGCGCTTCCTTTCCCATTCTTTTGCTTTTGTACGATCAGGTTGAAGACCCTAGCGTGGAAACTTTGGAAATTAATAATTTACAACTAATATTTACTATCCCACTGAAACGTCAAGCCAACCTAACAGGCCAACTGTGCCTCAGTGGGTCCAGTACTGGATCAGCTAACAGCCTTTGGCATCAGATAACCTAACAAGTCACCTGTGCGCCAGCACCAGTTTTGTGGCTCAGCTAACAGCCTTGAATGACCGACAACCTAGCAGGCCCCCGTTCACGCCACGATTTAAAAGAATCTTTACTTGCCAGCATAAAACTATCGAGAAGTGATTGCGCTTTTTTAGTCCTCTCTCCTTGCTTGTCATTAGCGATGGCTTTGAGACTTTTGTGTACTTATCTATCTTTGCGTCATACGGTTCTACTTCACACTCGTTTAAGAAATCAATAATACTCCAAGTCTCAGGGTTTCGTTCAAAATATTCGTGATTCCTGGACATGACTAATACACGTTTTTTCTTTTTAAACTGGGAGGTATATAGATATATATATAACCGATTGTCGCACAAATCAGTTATGCACGTGACTAATAATGTGTTGTTTCGTCGCACAAGCACAAAGGGCCAACCGGCCAACCGGCCAACCGGCCAACCATAGACTCAAACGTAATCTGTTATTATTAATCTTTTTTCGAGAAAAAAGCGTCGCACATGCCAACATGGCATTGTGGCTGGACAATATATTATTTTATTTATTCATTTCGCAAAAAAAATTGATAAATCATAGTCCAATAAATTTTGTTATATCAAGAAAGTAATTGTCTATTTTTAAAACATTTCTCAGAATCAGTCAGTTAAACAATCGTGATTTTTGTCCCATCTCTCAATCTTAATGCCGGCTGATTAAGATAGTTTATGGATGGCAGTAAATTATTTTGTTTTGCATATCAAGATGAGATAAATATTTCACTTGTGATCCCTTTGGAACCCGATGATTGATAAGAAGTTGGCGAAATCATTTCTTGCTTGGCAGGTGAAATATAAGCTGGCTTAAAATTTGAAGCACTTGGCATAGTATTTTTTGCCATAGTTGCTTTAGCCAAAAGGTAAGCTTTATAACCAGTTGAACGACCATCATAATCATATGATACCAATACCAATTTATCCTTTTCTGAATGTGAAGTAGATTGGAATGAAAGCTCTAGCTGAAGACGCTTCATTTTAGCCTCTTCTTATAATATATACTGTTTATACTGCCAGATCTGAAATTTTCTTCTATCAATAGCTTAGAGAATTTCTTTTATTTTTACATCTTCGATTCGGTTAGTTTTGCTAACAATACATCTCTTTAAGTGGCCATCTTGATAGAAAAATTCATCTATAAGCCTTTAGGGATGAATACTAGGGAGTCACACATACTACAATATATATAATTTGTTAGATTTCTGCTAGAATGGAACCCTTTACCATCTTCATAAAATTTTGCATACATGCAAATATATCTATTCTTAAAAAACATTTTTGGGTTTTCTTCAAGTATTTTTCTAAATGGACTACGAATACAAAAGCATCACATTTCTGGTATTTCATTATCATATTTATATTGTAAAAGATGTATTGCTTTTATTATCTCATTATATTTATCATCAAAATCAAGCAAATAAAGCTTATAGTAGGCATTATAATGTTTAAATGATAAAATAGTGTTTTTAGTGATTTATATCATTTATAATGATTTATAGTGATTTATATCAGTTTGTAACAAGTATATTATAATAAATATCAAATTCATTTTTATTCGATTTATTCAGGTGAAAATCAGATTCATATTTTTTCCTGATGTTATAATTCGGTTAAATTAAACCCAATCACTATAAACGATTAAATTATAAAATTTGTATTACATATGATCTCCTTAAATTCCTGCCAGTTCTATGACAGTTCTATGATACTTCCCTAATACTTTTATGGTATTGAGTAGTTTCTCAAATCACGGGTGATCGACATATCATATGGATTTGAAAAAATGATTAAGTTACCATTATTATTATTACATTAGTCAATTATTTTACCTTGTAATAATCTTACACATTACTCAATATATTTCTATAAAACTGGCCCAATTTTAATGAAGTTCTCTTATCAATGTAATTCTACTAAATGGTCTGACATAGTGTTGTTATGGGACATTGATGGGACACTGATGGGACGCTGATGGGACATAGATGGGACAGATAGGACCTTTGGAACATAGTATAGGACAGGTTGGGACATATAACTGGGACAACAAATCTCTGAAACATCAAAAATGTACATCACTGGTCTGACACTCAGCTTCATCTTTTCATTAACGAACATAAACAAAAAAATTTTAAATATCATGTCACCTCAAATAAGAAGAAATGATTAGAGCTCTGAACAGGTCAGTTCGGGTCAGGTCAATCAAGTTATCTGAACTAAGAAGACCAGGTCAGATCAAACAAAAATCTGATTTAATTTAAATTTTCATTTGACCTAACCTGATCTGACCTAATCAAACCTAATTTGATCAAATTATTTAAATTATTTAATAAACAATATATTATATTTGATTCAATTTAAAATTTTAATTTATTTTGTTATTTTTCTTTTGCTTTTTCTGTAAAAAAAAATTGCATGCGAAATAATATGAAAATTTTTAATTTGATGATTAATTAAAGTTGTATAATTAATTACAGTTGCACAATTAATTATAGTTATACTGAAAATCAATTTTCCAATCTTTTTTTTTCTTTTTTTAACAAAAAAAACTTTTATTTTATTTAACATAATCTTTAAAAAAACAACCTTATTTTTTAAATACTTAAACTTGTAAGAACTCTTACTAA